GACGTGCACTTCACTCTCGTCAGGTAATGGTGTCACGCCATCGCCCAGCCCGTCTAGCCACTCGTTAATTCGTCCAGTGCTCATACCCTCATTCATTGACAGTACTGTCATGTCATCTTCAACTGGTATCCACGTCCCGAGTTCCTTCTTGTTGGGGAGTCTAGCTGGTACGTCGTTCGCATTGATCGCTGGGACCCAAGCTTTTCCGTTGTTCGCTGTCGTCACGGTGGCTGCCAACATCACAGACCCCACGTGCTTCAAGGGCACGAACACACCTCGCTCGCCGTCTTCAGCAGTCACCGACACTTCCACTGGCGTCACTGTCTTCGCTGCTATCGCCTGCTTGCCTACCATGCGCACTACCGCCACTCGTCGTCCTCCTGAGCCGTCTATCGTTCGAAAGGGAATCACGACCGCACGACCGGCTTCAATGTAGCGCACCTCGTTCCTATTGAAATCCATCGTTGCTCCTCTCGATTTCATGAAGTCGACACCGAGTAAGAACTCGTCGGTACACCCCGCTACGATACACGCGTCAACTCGAATGGCTTCACCAAACACACTGCGAAACTCGAACCTCCACACCCCTATGACGTCGAGTAAAAAGCCGCCGATGCCTTCTACATAGTCCACCGGTGCTTTGTCCGTCAACTTGTCGCCGTACGTCATCCACTCGGTGCCCGCGATCGTGTAACGCGCACAGCTATCCAGTTTCACGAGCATCTGAACTCCGTCAATCTCCATACTCGCTGTGGGGAGTCCGTCGTCGGCACCGACGTACTCAACCGCCTCGCTGCTCCTCGCTGACGCCGCGCCCGTCGCTTCCTCTTGCTGCTTGACCAAACTAACACGTGCCTGGTCCGTCGGTTTCGCTGCCGGCTTCCCGTCTGGATCATCTCGTTGCCGTCGCCGTTCCTCCAGCCGTTCCAGGGCTTCATTGCGTTCCTGTAGTCTCACTGCGCTCCGAACTTCACGGATACGGCGCTGCTCCTGCTCGTTGTCGTGCCGATTCTCCAGTCTAGCTGTTGCCACCATAACCCGCTGTCGTTTGGCAGCTCGTAGCGCTTGTCGTCGTGTACGCCTTACCTTCGAAACGGATGCATTCAACTCATCAACGCCAGCTTCCACGTCGGTTATCTGTACGTCCCTGTCTACAGCAGCTGTCTTCTCACCCGTTGCCACAACGCGCGCATTCTCGCCTTCCTCAGCTTCGCGCTGTTTCTTCTTCATCTCGTACTCTCGCTGCTCCCGCTCACGTTCCGTCCGTACGAACCGCGTCACTGCCATTGCCGGGCGTAACGTCGCTACGTACCGAGCCGCTCGCTCAGCGTCCTTCACCTTCATCTCGTTCGCCATACCCTTCATCACGTCCTCCACCCGTTCATCCTTCGTCACACTCTCACACTGCGTCGCCGCCTTACCGTCCCCGTGTCGTACAGTACCCGTCGCCTGCCCACTCCTTCCGTCTTGGCCTGGCCGTTGGGGTTTCACCTTCATAACCGGACGTCGTATC